AAAGGATGTAGAAAGTAAAGGCCAAAGTGGTCCCAGTGGTGGTAGGAGCACTCGGGGCTATGACTCCTAAGCTGATAGAGTGGCTCCCACAGATCCCATGCCACCCATAGGGGTGAGAGGGGATTTTTAAAAATATTGAAGTATTTAAGAATATTAAAATAATATGGTTCTGCCACTTAAAAAAAATTAGGATTCTGTATATGTGTCAAGCTGTGATGATTACTAGAAATTTCTAATGAAACATAACTTATAATACTTCAGAATGAACTTTTGCTTCTTTCTTGGGACAGGAATAAATGCAAAGAGAATAACTATGAACTGCTTTTGCTAGCCAGAATAAGTGTTCTGGAGACCAGTGCTCTAAGACTGGAGCCTGCATTCTTCTTGCTGGAGAGTAAATGTTATTGAATTTAAGTGACTGACTTCTGAGAAAATGTGCTTCGAGTTGTATTGTTATCTTCATATGGGCTAGTGAAGGATATTGTGTTCTGTGCTTACATTTGTTTAGTAAGTAGAGAATATTTATTCCTTTGCAGTTTTGGAACCAACCTGTTTTAATAGTGGGAAACCATCCAACAATATTCAGATATTGAGGCAGGCAGTGAAAAGCTAATGAATACAATTCTTCTATTTTTGGTTACTTTTTTTGAAAAATAAGTGTACATTTTTCTTTTATAGTATGATCTGTCAGCCTCCACATTTTCTCCAGATGGCAGAGTATTTCAAGTAGAGTATGCTATGAAAGCTGTTGAAAACAGCAGGTAAGATTTGAATTTTTATATTCTGAAATAATGTAATCATAGTGACTTTTGTGGTAGTGGATTCCACTGGTCCAAATAACTTAAATACTGTTTACTGGTACTTGTATTTGGATCTCTGGAATCCTCTGAAATAAAAATAGAAAGAATGAAATTCTGCTTGCAGATAGTTCACTTAAGAGTAAATCCAATTAATGTATATCCCAAGAAAGCAACTTTGAAATATCAGCCTTAAAGCCTAATAGGGAGAGAGGGCCTATTCAGCTGGCCTGCCCCAGGCAACTGGTGGACCCTCTTGGGTTCCAGAGGGAACTTGGGATTTTTCTTGAGGACCTGTCAGGCACTTCGGCAGAGGCCTTGGCTGCAGCCTGGAATAGGCATGTGACAGAGGCTCTCTGGACCAGATTGCTCCTATGCAGCCTCTCTCTGTGTGCCAATCTGTTTGGTTTTCCAAAGAGCTCCGAGAGATGAAACACCAGAAGCGATGCCTAGAGTGCCATTGGAGAAAGACAAAGAGCAAATCATGAGTAAGAGTCCACATTTGGACCTAAGTTGTGGCAATAAGGGTGGTGAAACTTTGCTATTTTTCCACCCTTATTGGGTCTGCCGATAGCCACCGGGCAGCCCTCTTAAGGGTGACCTATTCCATTTTGGGGGGGGGCTTGGGCCACAGGATCATCTCCAGGGCTGCGGTGAGGAATATTCATGCTATCTGGCAGGGAAACAGATTATCTGGACCTGTTTCAATTTGGCTTCAGGCCAGGGTACAGTACAGAGACAGTATTGATCGTGCTTGCTGATGACCTTTGGTGGAGCTGGGATGGGGGTGGTGCATCCATCCTAGTGTTCCTTGATCTCTCACTGCCTTTTAGTACTGTCAACCACAGTATCCTTTTGGACTGGGTGTGGGTGTTACGAGTGGGAGGCGCTGTGCTCCAGTGTTTTACCTCCTTCCTCAGCGGTTGGTTTCAGTCAGTGTTGATGGGGTGGGAAGAAATAGCATCTCCTGCCCCTCATGTGGGGTGCCTTGGCTTGACGCTCTCCTCTTGTTCAACTTCTATGTGAAACTACTGGGTGAAGTCATCCACCAGTTCAGGGTGCAGTATCATCAATATGCTGATGATACCCAACTTTACATCTCTACCCTGAGTGGCACAAGTGAAGCTATCAATATATTGACCCAGTGTCTGGAGACTATTCAGATCTGGATGGGGTAGAACAGACTTCAGCTCAATCCTAACAAGTCTGAGTGGCTGCAGGTTGAATTCCCTGGGTCAGGGGTGTTAACATCTTTGGTCTTGCATGTGGCTGCACTTGACTTGCAACTTGGGGGTCCTTTTGGACTTGCAGCTACTACTCAAAGAGCAGGTGGCAGCTGTGGCCAGGAGAGCCTTTGCATAGGTTCATCTTGTGTACTAGTTGCACCTTTTCCAAGATCAGGAGGCCCTTTAAACAGTCACTCATGCCCTTGTCAACTCACAATTGGATTATTGCAATGCCCTCTACATGGGGCTGCCCTTGAAGACTACCTGGAAGCTACATCTGGTTCAAAATGCAGCAGCACAAGCAGTAACAGGCACCTCTCAGTGTGCCCCTGTGTCACCACTGCTATACGAGCTTAATTGGCTCCCAGTTGGCTTCCAAGTGCAATTCAGGGTGCTGGTTATTACCTATAAAACCCTGTATGACATAGGGCCTGGATATCTGAGAGACTACTTGTCTCCAATTGTTTCTGCCTACCCAGTATGTTCCAGCAGAGTGGGTGCACTCCAGATCCCCTCCATTAAACATTGCCATCTTGTGGGACCTAGGAAGTGTGCCTCCTCTGTTGCAGCCCCCATCCTCTGGAACAGCGTCCCCTCAGAGATAAAGGATGGCATTCTCTCTCCTGGGATTCTGGAAAGCTTTGAACACCTGGCTTTGATCCCAGGCCTGGAGTTGATGTTTATTATTTGTTCAATGTCCTTTGTTTTGTTTTGTTGATTTTGCTGTCTATTAGATTATTTTAGTCTGGGCTGTCTATTTGATTCAATGTTTTTAGCTGTTTTTATGTTTTTCCTAGTTTTGTATGCCACCCAGAGTCCACTGGAGTTGGGCAGCCAATACATTTAAATAAAGAAAAATAAATATATACTTACTCAGAAGCAAGCTCCCATGAGTACTTTAAGTGCAGTCATGCCCCATTAAAAGAAGATCAGTTAACTTCTGCATTGTGATGGAGGACTTGGATGAGGAGGTTCAAGGTCATGGGGAGAAGCATCTCCTCAGCCCA